GTAATACATCACATTAAAAAAAAGGAAATACAAAAACCACATGAACATATCAATAGATGGGGGAAAAGCATTTGATAAGGTACAACACCCATTTATGATAAAAAAACTCTCAGCAAAGTGGGAATAAAGGGGGCACGCCTCAATATAATAAAGGCCATAAATTAAAAACATACAGCCAATATTATACTCAATGGGCAAAAACTAAAATCGTTCCCACTAAGATCACGAGGAAGACAAAGTTGTCAGCTTTCGCCAGTTCTATTCAACATAGTATTGGAAGTTCTACCCACAGTGACCATAAAAGGAAAAGAAATAAATGTCATCCAAATTCGAAAGGAAGAAGTAAAAGTGTAATTGTTTGCAAATGGCATGAGAATGTACATAGAAAACCCTATAGACTCCACCAAAAAACAACTTGACTTAATACGTGAATTTGGCGAAACAGCAGGATACAAAGTCAGTATTTAGGAATCAAAGGCATTATTGTACACCAAAAACGAAATATCAGAATCAGAAATGAGGAAAAAGGGAGAATAAAGATGGCAGAGGAGTGATTGGAAATCACACTGACCTCCTCCCAGGACCAACCTGGAATTACAACTAAATTGTGGAGAAATCACCTGGAAGAAATAACTGAACAATAGTGAGAGAGGAGTCTTATAACCTCGGACAGACAGAAGAATCAGCTTTAGCACAATTTAACTGCTACTTACCCTGGGTTCCAGCAATGGCAGGGGCAGATTGGGCTGGAGACACCTGAGGAGATACTGGGGAAGGAGGCTTTGGGGAGAGAGGTGAGAGAGTGGCTGGTGGGATCTCGATGTTGACTCATCCTCCATGTGGCAGCAGCCATTGAGCTCAGGAAGAGACCACTCCCCTTGAGCAGCAGCAGCATCAGAGGACCCAATAGCCCTGCACCCTAGGTGAGATTCTACTATGTCCTCTGGTATCTAAGCCACTACTGAGTGCAGAATGGCAGCCACAGATACTGAAGGGGGTGTAGAGTGGTCTGGAGACACTTGAGAGACTGGGGATGGAGGATCTGGGGAAGAATGGAGAGAGTAACCAGTGGGATCCCAGTGCTCACTCCTCTGCCATACAGCAGCAGCCATCTTATTCAGGCAGAGACCACTCCCCTGAGTGGGCAGCAACATGAGAGGACCCAGTAACCCCGGCCCAAGGAGGGACTCTGCCCACTCTGTGGTGTCTCCAGCTGGCCTGCTGAGTGCAAGTGACTAGATCAACAGCTGAAGAAGATAGCCAGAGACAATAGACTTCTGGAAGTCTCAAACAGATGGCCTGAGGTCAGGCAGGGTCAACATATGACAACACCAGAGGCAGATCCAGAAAGAAAAAAACAGCGGTCTCCTACCATAGAAGTTCACAGCACAAAGTCAGGAAATAAACAAGACAGAAAAGTTTAAGAAGCAGAAGCAAAAAAAAAAAAAAAAAAGAGTTTCACAAATAATGTGAAGACAAAGAAACAAGCCCCCCCCCCCCAGCTGGAGGGAAAGGAGGATTCCTGAAAAAAAAGAACTAAATGAAATAGAGGCAAGTCAACTATCAGATATTGAGTTCCAAACAACAGTTATAAGGAAGGTAAATGAACTTAGTGAGCTCAGACAGAATTACAAAAAACTACAGAGAAGCATCAAGGAACTTACAGAAATTATATCAGTATGAAAAAGGACAGAGAAACTATCAATAAGAGACAAGAGGAATGAAAAATACAATTTCTGAATTGAAGAATACAGTAGAAGGAATCAAAAGCAGGCAAAATAAAGCATAGAATCGAATCAGCTAGCTGGAGGATGAGGTAGAAAAAAGCTCCCAGAAAGAGCAAAAAAACAAAAAAAGTCTCAAAAAGAATGAAGAGGCATTTAGGGAAATGTAGGACCTCAAATGTAATAATATCTGTATAATAGGGAAAATGGAAGGAAAAGAAGAGGAGCAAGGGATAGAGACTGTTTGAAAAAGTAATGATGGAAAACTTCCCTAATTGGAGGAGAGAAAATGTTGCACAAGTCCAGGAAGCACAGAGGGTCCCATTCAAGAGGAACCCAATAAAGCCCACGCTAAGACACATCATCATTAAAATGGCAAACATCAAAGACAAACAGAGAATCCTCAAGGAAGCAAGGGAGAAAGAAGTAGTAACATATAAGGAAGCCTTGATACGGCTAGCAGCTGACTTCTCAACAGAAACACTACAAGCCAGAAGGGAATGGCAAGAAATATTCCAAGTCATGAAAAGCAAAGGACTGCAACCAAGACTGCTCTACCCATCAAGGCTCTCAATTAAAATGGAAGGTGAAATAAGGAGTTTCCCATAGAAAAGAAGGCTAAAATAATACACCTCCACCAAACCAGCATTGCAAAATATGCTGAAGGGACTGCTGTAAGATGAAGAAAAGGAGTCTATGAATAACCAGTTATTTTCACAGTCACCAATACTTGATATTACCAATGTTTTTAATATGTATTAATCTGATTGTGACAATGATGTGTTATTTAAAGTTTTACTTTATTATTTGTTGAAAATAAACCTAGTTTTGTATATGTCTTACTTATTTCTATTATTTTTAAAAAGCTTTAAATGACTCTTGGTATTCTTTATTCATTTATCAGTTAAAGATTTGTAGAATTTTTTTCCCTAAAAAGAGAACAACTATTAACCCTTTTTAAGATGTGTGGCAAATACTTTCCCATGCTATTACTTGTCTTTTATCTTTTCTTTGTGTAAGTTACTATATAGTCTTAAATGTTTAATATAGTCATATTGTCAATAATTTATAGCATCTAGGTTTGAATATTTTACGTCAGGGTAAGAAAAATATTGGTTTGTATTTTCTCCTAAAACTCTTTAGATTTTACAAATAGATTTTTAACTCACGTGAATATTTCTTATATAATGTCTGAAATAGAACTCTATATTTGTTTTATTTCAAGTAATAGTGGTCCATGCACCTTAGTTGTTGAATAAGCCTTATTTTATGAATTGATTTGAAATATCAATTTAATCATATATTATGTTGTTAGGCAGACATATATGTTTGTTTCGAGTATGTTCATTATATTTCATTGATCTACTTGATTATTTCTGTGCTGGTGTCATGTTGTTTTAATTGCTGAGACTTTATAATGGCTTTAAATTAGTTAATATTTTAAAATTGACTTTGACATTAAAAAATAAAGTCAATCTGCATTTAAGAAAGAGGGAAGGAAAGAAAGAAAAAAAGAAAGATGGTATTCCTACCTTTTGCAAAAACATGGATGGAACTGGAGGATATTATGCTAACTGAAATCAGCCAGTTGATGAAAGACAAATATCATATGATCTCACCTATAAGTGGACTCTATTCAACAAAATAAACTAACAAACAAAATAAACCACAGGCATGGAGACATGGAGCAGACTGAAAGTGACCAGAGGGGATGGGGAAAGAGACAATGGTGGAAAGAAGGGGAAGGGACTAGACAAAGAACATGTATGAATGACCCATGGACATGGACAACACAGTGGGAATTTACTGTAAGAGGGTGGAGGTTTGATGGGTGGAGGGGGTAAAGGGGAAAAAAGTGAGACAACTGTAATATAATAAACATAAAAAAAGAAAAAAATCAAAAAAATCCCATTTGCTATAGCAACAGGTGAACTAAAGTACCGAGAAATTAACTTATCCAAGGAGGTAAAATACTTTTATGCAGAAAACTACTTAACACTGAAGAAAGAAATTAAGGAAGACACAAATAAATAAAAGCATATACTGTGTTCATGGTTTGGAAGAATTAATATTATCAAAATGTCCATACCACCCAAAGGTATTTTTAGATACATTGCTATCCCTATTAAAATACCAATGACATGTTTCAAAGATATAGAACAAACATTTCAAAAATTTATATGGCATAATAAATGAACCCAAAGAGCTGCAGGAAATTTGAGAAAGAAGAACAAAGTAGGAGGGATCACAATACTTGACATCAAATGATATTACTAGGCCACTGTAATCAAAACAGTCTGGTACTGACATAAGAACAGACACATAGATCAATGGAACAAAATAGAGAGCCAAGAAATAATGCCATGTCTCTATGGTTAATTAATATTCGACAAAGAGGACAGGAGCATAAAATGAAGTAAAAATAGCCTCTTCAACAAATGGTGTTGGAAGATCTGGCCAAGGACATGCAAAAAGATTGAAATTTGACCACCAACTTACACCATATACAAAAATAAACTAAAAATGGGTAAAAGGCTTAAATGTAAGTTGCAACATCGTAAAAGTCTTAGAAAAAAAATAGGCAGGAAGCTCTCAGATATTCCACACAGCAATATTTTCACCAATATGTCCCCTAGAGCAAGGGACATAAAGGAAAGAATAAACAAATGGGACTTCATCAAAATAAGACGCTTCAACATGCCTAAAGAGAACATCAGCAAATTGAAAAGGGAACCAACGGTATGGGAGATCATATTTGCCAGTGAAACCTCAGGCAGGGGTTTTATCTCCAAAATATATAAAGAACTCACACAACTCCACCCCAGGAAGACAAACAATCCAATTAAAAAGTGGGCAAAGGACCTGAACAGACACTTGTCTAAGGAGGACATAAACAGGGCCCTGAGACATATGAAAAGATGTTCAGCATCACTAGCCATCAGAGAGAAGCAAATTAAAACCACAATGAAATACCACTTCACACCTGTCAGAATGGCCGTCATGAACAAATCAACAAATAACAGGTGCTGGCGTGGCTCTGGAGTGAAGGGAACCCTAGTACACTGTTGGTGGGAATGCAGACTGGTGTAACCACTGTGGAAAACAGTTTGGAATTTCCACAAAAATCTGAAAATGGAACTGCTTTTTGACCAAGCAATTCCACTGCTGGGACCATACCCTATGAATCCCAAAACACCAATTCAAAAGAACCTATGCATCCCAATGTTCATAGCAGCACAATTAGAATAGCCAAGTGCTGGAAGCAACCTATGTGCCCATCAATAAATGAGTGGATCTGGTTTCTTCTTTCACCAGGGACCCATCAAAATGGGCCGTGTTCACCCCAAGACTGTGAAGAAGGCAGCCCGGGTCATCACTGAGAAGTACTACATGTGCCTGGGCAAGGACATTCACGCCAACAAATGCGTGTCAAAGGAGATCGCCATTATACCCAGCAAGAAGCTGCAAAACAAGATAGCAGACTATGTCACACATCTGATGAAGGGGATCCAGAGAGGCCCCATGAGAAACATCTCCATCAATCTGCAGGAAGAGGAGAGAGAGAGGAGAGATAATTACATTCCCGAGGTCTCAACCCTGGATCACGAGATCATTGAAGTTGATTCTGACACTAAGGAGATGTTGAAACTCTTGGAATTTGGCAGTCTGTCCAACCTGCAGGTCACTCGGCCTAGCAATGGAACAAATTTCAAAATACCGCGTGGAGCTGTGTGAACCCTTCTGCTGTAATATCATCAATAAACCATGAACAAGTTAAAAAAATAAATGAGTGGATCAAAAAACTACGGTACATTTACACAACGGAATACTATGCAGCAGAAAGAAAGAAAAAGCTACTACCCTTTGCGACAGCATGGATGGAACTGGAGAGCATTATGCTAAGTGAAATAAGCCAGGGTTAAAAGATAAATACCATATGATCTCACCTATAAGTGGAACCTAACCAACAAAACCAACAAGCAAGAACAATATAACCAGCAACACTGAAAGAAAAAACAAACCGACAGTAACAAGAGGAAATGAGGGAGGGGGGTAATGGGGAAAAGATGGGGAAGGGTTAAGTCAAAGAACATGTGTAAAGGACCTGTGGACAAAGCCAAAGTGGGGAAGGATTGAGGGTGCGGGGTGAGGGTGGGTGGGGCAGGGGAAAGTGGTGACGGGAAAATGGAGACAAATATATTTGAACAATAAAAAAAGAAAAAAAAAAGAAAAAGGAAACATGCTAAGTGAAAGAAGGAAATCACACATACAAAAAAAGTTCGAAGTCAATTCTTTCTTTGCTCCTACTTTCTAATCCCTTCTGTACTCCTAGTCATTGGCCTAATCATCAGGAGATAAGAGAAAAAGAATATGAGATAGGGATTCTAATCATACAAAAAGTGTCAAGAATTGCATTTTAACAATTAAGAATTATGTGCAGTTATGCAGTCATAACAAAAGTTACACTAAAATATTTAATTCCAAAGTAACACACATCTTACATATTACAAAGTGAAAATCATCCCGACTCACAAAATCCTTATATCTTCCAGGAACCTTGGTTCTCTGGGCTTCACCATCCCAAGATATGGGAGTGGGCCATCTCTGGCCAGGGAATGTCTCTCTTATATTGAATGGCTACAGCCTTATAGGTTTTAGTTAAGCTTCTACACATGCGATTTCCCACAACCCTACTTGATTGCTCACTCGGGGAGGAAACCACAATGCTACTTATTATCAGGTGTCACAAGGAGATTCTCGGAAATTAGGATGCTTACTGAAGACGACAGCTGCAGTGTCTCAGAATTTTCTATTCTGCCTCCTGCCTCAATTCCACAATTGCTGGTTGTGCATCTCTGGAAATTTACCTAACCATTTCGAGGTTTATTTTTTTCATGTGTAAAATAGAGATCATAATAGTTTCTACCTCATTGGGGCTGTTGTGAAGATTGATTTAAAGTGAAATGCACACAACAGCTCAATAGAGACTTACTAATTGTTAGGTGCTACCATTATAGTGGTTATCATTATTATTATCCTTTCTTCTTGTTTTCTTATCCAACATGTGAGAGACAGCATGACTCAGCACTACATTTAAAGCTAGAAGGGTTGTATTCTTTACAACACGCTGTTTCTTTGATCCTCTGTGCAAATTATTTATCTGAACAGAGAGAAACTGAGCACATAAATCAATTCTGCATTACCACATTCATTCCATTTGTTGCACCCAGTGTATTAGTGCCCACTCCAGGATTTTTGAATCTTCTCTCCTTTTTCTCCTTTTCAACCCCCGTAATTTAGAATACTAAATCGCTATCCATCTCAGGAAAGTGAAAGAGTGTTTCTGTTGCTGAAACTTAACTAAATAAGTGCATGGGTCAGGGAGAGTTCTTACCTCTGTACTCTGGTCTGGTATCATGCTTGTTTCCCAAACCCATTCTCTTCTCAGTGTATTTGGTCTCATGCTTGACTGAGATGGAAAATGGAGAGGTTTTACAATTTTTAGATCTGTAGCTAAAACATTCCAGAGATTCTGAAAACAAATGATAAAATGTGAATCATAATTAATACTTGATGATGCTAACAAAATAAGAATTTTATTGTCTTGGTCAAGGTTCTTTTAGTTGTAAGAAATAGAATCCCACTCAAAATTGATCATGCCAGAAGGAGAAATTTTTATGAGAATACAGGGATAATTGTAGAGCTCAATGGCAGGCAGTGGAGCCAAGCCTCTTTGTTGATTGGAACCATAAGCAAAAAGTTATAACAATAGGTTAAAATTATCTGTTTGTCACACTGCTTGATTTCTCTCTATGTGGCATTGTCACTATTTTTTTTCCTCATGCATGGTAGGAAAGAACTGTACCCACTTTTACCTATCCCTTATTCTAGACACAGGAGGAGACTAACCAGCTATTCGGAATCTCAACTGTGCATTGCAAAGAGAAAGACTGTGATTGGTTTAGCTTGGAGGCTGAATCTATCTCAGATACAATCAGCTGTGACCTGAGGCAAAGAGTCATATAAAACAAACATGGTCACCAGGGTCCCATTCTCATCCTCATGGATAAAGTGAGCAATTCTCAGGAAAAAAATGGGTTAATTTGGAGGTATATGAATGCCCGTAAAGTTCTCCTGCACCTTCATTGTCTGCTTTTTGTTATCTTTTCCTATACTCACATAGTAGAAACAAATTGCTTTATATGATTAAAAAATAACAAACCCTTTTTCACCCTTTTAAGAATTTTTCCATGCTACAACATTAACTGAACTTGTCTTATACATTAGATCTTAAATAACAAAACACCAGAATATTGGAAATTTCTGGAATTAAAGATTCTAGATATTAATGGTTCCTGGTAATTTAAAGTCAAATTTTATGGTCATAAGTTTGGGTATATAGAATAGATTGCAAATATCTTTCTATTTTGTAAAGAGTCAAATAAGTTTCTTGGATTTTCTTAGCTCTTCCAGAGATCAGATTGAGGGGATTTCTGCGGAGTTACCAATATCTCGTGTCCTGGCTACCATTTTGGATTATAGTCACTTCCCTAGTTCAGGATGTTGTAACACATTCAGGGACTGATTGTAGTTTGTTCTTACAAGTCAGCTCTAGAGTATAGTCTGGCCACAAGGTACAGCACCCATTTATGATCAAAACACTCAGCAAAATGGGAATCAATGGGGCATTCCTTAACGTAATAAAGGCCATATATGAAAAACCTACAGCTAATATCATACTCAACGGGCAAAAACTGAAAGCTTTCCCACTAAGATCGGGAACACGACAAGGATGTCCGCTCTCACCGCTTCTTTTCAACATCGTATTGGAAGTCCTAGCCACAGCGGTCAGACAAGAGAAAGAGATAAAAGGCATCCAAATAGGAAAGGAGGAAGTAAAGCTGTCATTGTTTGCAGATGACATGATAGTGTACATAGAGAACCCTGTAGACTCTACCAAAAAACTCCTCAACCTAATAAGTGAATTTGGCAAAACAGCAGGACACAAAGTCAACATTCAGAAATCAAAGGCATTTTTGTACACCAGCAATGCAATAGAAGAAGAAGAAAACAGAAAAAAAATGCCATCCGATATAGGAAGAAGAAAAATAAAGTACCTAGGCATAAATTTAACCAAAGACGTAAAAGACCTGTATGCAGAAAACTATACAACATTGAAAAAAGAAATTAAGGAAGACACAAATAAATGGAAGCATATACCGTGCTTATGGATTGGAAGAATTAATATCCTTAAAATGTCCATACTACCCAAAGCAATTTATAGATTCAACGTAATTCCTATTAAGATACCAATGATGTATTTCACAGAAATAGAACAGACATTTCAAAAATTTATATGGAACCATAAACGACCCCGAATAGCCGCAGCAATTTTGAGAAAGAAACACAAAGTAGGAGGGATCACAATACTGGACATCAAACTCTACTACAAAGCCACCATACTCAAAACAATCTGGTACTGGCACAAGAACAGACCCATAGACCAGTGGAACAGAATAGAAAGCCCAGAAATAAGCCCAGGTCTCTATGGGCATCTCATATTTGACAAAGGGGGCAGAAGCATAAAATGGAGCAATAACAGCCTCTTCAACAAATGGTGTTGGGAGAGCTGGAAGGCTACATGCAAAAAATTGAAATTGGATCATCAGCTGACACCATACACAAAAATAAACTCAAGATAGATAAAAGACTTAAATATAAGTTGCAACCCCATCGAAGTCCTAGAGGAGAACATTGGCAGGAAACTCTCAGATACCCCATGCAGCAATTTTTTCACTGATATATCTCATAAAGCAAGGGACATAAAGGAAAGAATAAACAAGTGGGACCTCATCAAAATAAGAAGCTTCTGCACGGCTAAAGAAAATATCAGCAAAATGAAAAGGGAGCCAACCCTATGGGAAAATATATTTGCTAATGATACATCAGATAGAGGTTTGATCTCCAAGATATATAAAGAACTCACTCGACTCCACTCCAAGAAGACAAACGATCCAATCAAAAAATGGGCAAAGGACCTGGGCAGATGCTTTTCTAAGGAGGAGATACAGAGGGCCCAGAGGCATTTGAAAGGATGCTCTGCATCACTAGCCATCAGAGAAATGCAGATCAAAGCCACCATGAGGTACCACCTCAAACCGGTCAGAATGGCCATCATAAACAGATCAACAAACAACAGGTGCTGGCGAGGCTGTGGAGAAAAGGGAACCCTAGTACACTGTTGGTGGGAATGCAGACTGGTGCAGCCACTATGGAAAGCAGTGTGGAATTTCCTCAGAAAGCTGAAAATGGAACTGCCTTTTGATCCAGGGATTCCCCTGCTGGGACTATACCCTAAGAACACCAAAACACCAATACAAAAGAACCTATGCACCCCAATGTTCATAGCAGCACAATTCACAATAGCCAAGTGTTGGAAGGAACCTAAATGCCCATCAGTAGATGATTGGATCAAAAAGTAATGGTACATATACACAATGGAATACTATGCAGCACAAAGAAAAAAAAACTACTAAACTTTGCGACAGCATGGATGGAACTGGAGAGCATCATGCTAAGTGAAATAAGCCAAGGGGTGAAAGACACATACCATATGATCTCACCTATAAGCGGAACCTAACCAACAATGCAAAGATGCAAGGAAAATATGACCAGCAACACTGATAGGAAAATAAATCAACAGAGACAAGAGGGAAGGGGGGGCAGGGAAAGGG